TTGGCTTGAACCACAATATTGGAAAGTGCTTCTTCAGAACACCAAATAATCTTTCTATGACATTGCGTAACGACGAATGTCGATGGTTAAACAATTCCTTGGGTCCAGAATAATGACGGCCATGAAACTTTTGCAAGTCATAGCGTTGGGAACGAAATGAGGCAAGAAATCCAGGCATGTTCGTGAAGCCAACATCCATTAAATAGTACTTGCCTACATGTAAATAATGTAGGCAATGCTCTGTCAAATACATGTACACAAAAATCAACATTTAAGACAGTACAATGTGTTATTTGGTGACAGTCACCATGGGGTGGGTGTAGGAAATGTAGATCAGTTTTTGTAATTGAGTTAACTAAAATTGCATTATCGTGGGCACTACATTCCCATTTAGAATTGATAAATGTGAACAACATGTCGAAGTCGCAAGCTGCGAGTACATTTTGCGATACAGTAGCTTTGCGACTACAGAATGTATTCTGTCTTGACGCTAGGACCCATGCATCCACCAATGTACCATCGATAACACCGACACAATCCTACTTGAAATATATTAGTTTGACATTAAACGCGAAACAAACCTACATATTACTTGTAAAACATAAAAATAAAAAAATAAATAATAATAATAATAATAATAATAATAATAATAATAATAATAATAATAATTCGTTACTGTTATTGAAAACTAACAAGACAAACATGTAGGCATACCTTGAACTACGGAAATAACCTCCTATCATTTAAAATTTTTGCTGGTATCTCATCTTGGTTCATAGGTTTGATAACCATTGATACAAGCTTGCACAATGCCCGCATAATAATTTTGGTGTGCCAACAAATAGTTTCAGTGAAGTGTTGAAATCTATCGGCTAGTAGTCTATGCCGATCATTTTGTGCTAAAGTGTACAAAAAAATGCCAAGAGATTCCTCAACACTGATATGCTTATGTTCAGTTTCGACAAAGCCATTTTGAAGTAAGGTGTCTTTCAATAAAATAAATGTTTGGGTATCCATTCACATGATGTCCATGATTGTTTCTAGATGGCCATTTAATAAACTAAAGATGTAATCATCACCTTTGAATGGATAAGTTCGCTATGGTCGTCTACTGGTTGACGCATTCATATGCTCATTCATAAAAGCAATCATCAAAAAGTCCATAAAATCTTCAATAACCTCATCCTCCTCTGATGACCTCTCCATTGCATTGTTTTTTGTGTCAGATGACATTATTTCGGTTACGTGACAATAACGCATAATTATAAAAAAATGATTAACATGCTAACTGTTACCATTATTGGTGAAACTAAAATAAACCACTGCCTACAATTTGTCGGCCTTAGTTATTTATCAAACAAGATGGAAACATACATGCGAAGAAAAAACATATTAATATTTAGTTATGTTGTCGTTACTACCTTTTCATATTGTATGTTATGTGTAAAATTGAAAGTTGAAGCAAAAATAAGAAAACAGACATAAAAGAACGCAGAAGAATAAAATCACATCTAAATGTAAAACAGAAACAATTTTAATAAACAAAGAAAGACGGATAAAAAAGAGCATGTTATCAAGTGAAAAAAAAATTAATAAGAACAACATAGACATCATCAAATCATGTTGGATAACCACAAAGAGAGAGCAAGCTCGATCAAGCCACAACTTCTCCCTTCACTGCAAAGCTAGGATGATAACTAGGCGCATATGGGTAGGAGTACACATAAAAAAACCTCCGTCATTCCTTGTCTTTGAATAGTATCAGTGCCCTAATGTACTACACCGGAGGCATGTCCCCAAGCTCTAATAGGGCATCTTGACATGTATCAAGAGAATAGTCATCACCACCTGCACTTATAGCCTCTGTGTCTGTTGATCGGGCACGAGAATGTTCCATTTTGCCTGTATATAGGTAGTGAAAACTACGCAGACGTCATCAAAGTCACTTGATCGTGACCTTTTAGAACGACCACTATCAGTCTGACTCTTTGTAGGGCCTCTCTTGTGACTTTTGCCCTTCAATAGTTCTATGTACTCATCGCCGAATAAGTCAACAATAATAGGTTCGGCCGCATTACTCCCACTAACTCCAGGAAACCAAAATTTATTAAGCATTTTATCCTCTTCATCAGAGTCAGGGGCTCTTTGTGTGGATGCACAGGCCAAGGCCCCTGTGGCACAACAGTTTTCAACAATTTCAGTCATTTCTTGAAAATACTCAAATCCTTTTGTCCTAAATTTCTTAACATTTTTTTATGCCTACAGCAATTGAAAATATTAAAAATAAACGTTCTATATGTGTGATCAAATATTACAAAAAAAAATTGAAAAGCGTATAAGTTAATTCAATACCTTATCTCAAAATTCATCAGGTGTAACAACCGTTCCAACAATGGGATCTCATCCCAGACCGGTTTGTGCCTCCAATCGCTTAAAGGTTTGATAATTAGCTTTCAATCGCTAATATTTCTGTCTCACCTGTTTTGGTGCGTATCAAAACCCATACAAATTTTGCAACTCAGTTGCAAAATGATTCCAATGCCTAACTGTCCACATATTACTATGACATGTTGTTTGATTTTTTTGTACCTTGTCTCTCAACATGTTCATTAGCTTCATTGTGTCCTGATTGTCATCAGAATTGTTGTCATCCATCTAACAACACACAATTTATATCTAAACAAATCTAAATTTGAAATTAAAAAATAAAAATGCAAGATTCATCTCTAATTATGTTTTGGTAAGAAAAAAAAGTTCATCAATTGAAATTGTTAACAGTGTTGGGAAAAATAGATACAACAAGAAAAAGTAGAATATTGCTAGGAAAAAAAATTCATCAATTGAAGTTGTTAACAATGTTGGAAAAAATAGATATAACAACAAAAAGCAGAATATTGCTAGGAAAAAAAATTCATCAATTGAAGTTGTTAACAGTGTTGGAAAGAACAGATATAATAAGAAAAAACAGAATATTGCATGCAAAATGTTTGTGAAAGAAGTGTATACAGTAGATAATAAGTAGAAATAAGTAGAAAGTGAGCAGAAGAAGAAGAGAAACATCAAAGGGGGTAAGTGGCTGTCAACCCAGAGGAAAGGGAGCTAGACTGGTGGTACCGGTGGGATGACCGGCCAGTTGTCCTAGTGGTTAACTGGTTTGACAGATCAAAACCATTTCTGCTTCTCAACTATTACATAGCTGATCGATTGAAGGATTGAAGGATATACGACTAGTAGATCGATTCAAGGATATACATACCAGAGCAGTAGGAGTGGAATAGCTGTCACCGGTGACGGAATGGGTACAGTGGGTAGATGTGTGCTTCTTCGGTAGGTGTCTGATTCGAGAATACACTTCACAAATTTGGCCTGACACACATAAATTGGGAATGAATTTGGGAATGTTTAAGGAAATCAGTGAGTTGTAATTTAAAATTTGAGAAAAATTTGTGATGTAGTTGACCTCGGTCTTGTCATTGTTTCGTTGCTCGAAAAGTGAATCTTTCACAATGCACAAACTGCAACTTACTTGATTCATAGGAGCTGATAGATGCAATTTTATGGGTGGAGAGGGAGTTCACAAACATAATTTAGATTTGAAGGTCTCGGTTCATAGAGAGCAACACGACCCGTGAAGAATCTTAAGTTGTGATTGTTGCAAGAGAGTAAGACGACTCGTGAAGTTCAGCTTTAAATTTCTTTCCAAGTGAAGCTTTTTAGAAGTTTAGCTTTAAATTTCTTTCACGTGAAACTTTTCAGAAATTGAGAATATTAAAGACACAGAGTATGTACCATTGGAAGCTTTTTACAGTGGAGAAACGAATGAAGAAATCTGCCAAATGGAAAGTGGAGATGTATTTTGAATTGTATGGTGGAATTATAATTTGAAAATTGTATCCAAATGTGAAGCGTAAATGTACAAGTGAAAATATATTTTGAAAATACAACCAAACACAACCTTAGTTTTTCTAGGAGGAAAGGAGGAAGGAAACGGTTGATTTTGCTGAATTGGCATATATGGCAACTGTCAAAACTTATGTCAAATTTATTATAAGCATTGATATTTGCCAAATTTGGTAGCTACCACATTCAACCATTGAAGAATCACTTTTCAAAACCAATTTATATTATAGCAATGGCAGCTCCAATAATAAATCATTAGAGATACTCTAAGAGGGTGTTTGGCATTTGCTAAAATAACACGTGTTATATTAACAAATTATCCTAATTGAGTAAAAATTATTTTTTTTTTAGTCACATCACATCTTTATCACATTACTCCATATTTTATATTTTTTCATAAAAAATCAAAAAATATACTTATTTAAATTATTCCAAATACCTCCTAAAATAAATTAAATAAGAAAATTCACTAAAAACAAATAAAAAATCGAATTTTAAGGAAAAAAAATCGAATTTTAAAGAGGAATTTTTATAAAGTCCATAATATTAAGATTTTATAAAATAAAAGACATACAATATTTTCATACTAATTGAGATTCCTCAACATTTTTGCAAGAGAACTTAGTTAATAAAAGAATCATCTTAAACTTTTCGTACTATACAAAGTTGGAAAATGATATTTTACTAATTTTCTCTATTTTAAAATTATTTTACTTTTTAAATAAATTTATTTTAATGTATTTAAAAAATAAAAATAAAGTAAAATATTAAAAAATTTCAAGAAAAACAAAAACTCATTTAAAAATAATTTTTAAAAAATAAAACTAAACAAAACTCGAAAAGGAAACTATTTTTGAAAATTTCAAAACCAAACAGAGGAAATTGATATTGATAAAAGAGATGGATCAGAATATCCTGGCTTGGATTTCTCAATAAAAGAGAACAGCGCTCAGTAATTTCAACTTCGATCATCTGGGGAAATAATCATCACTTCCATCCTTATTTTTCCTTTTTTATTATTTCTAATTTTTCTTAAAACCCAGGAAAAACCGAAGCAACTACAAATAAAGAACAAAAAAAAAAAATTCAAAAAAAGAGAGATGGATCAGAATATCCTGGCTTGGATGTTTCTCGAGCAAGAGAAAGAGCGCTCGGTGATTTCAGATTCGATCATCTGGGGAAATACTCATCCCTTCCGTCTCTCAATCTTTCAATTCGCAAAATCAACAACAAAATTGATGAATTCAATTTTTCCGTATCTGAATCTGACTCGATTAATCCCTAAAAACACTTAGGGTTCAAGACACAAACAGAGAAGGTCATACTCAACGCCAATTGTTCTTCAGCGCTGGTAATCACTATCGCACACATCTATATACATAAAAACTAATAATGACTAACCCTAGTTCATATACATTTTGCTTGAAGGATTGAAACCCTAATCAAAGGCCATGACGAGTGCCTTGTGAGATCGATGAGAGATGCAAGAAAGAGGCCGCTGTTGTTGTTATATAATGAATGGAGAAGAAGGGAGCGCTTCAAAATCAAAACCCTAGTTCGAGTGTTGATTTGATGGAGCATCATCGGTGACTGAAAGCTGTCTTCCTAAGCCACGTGTACGGTAGTGATTCTACTTGCTATTTTCGTGTGCTCTTCGTTTAGTGGGAAACGTTTTGGGCCTGATTCAGTTCGATCCAAGCCCAGACAGACTTTCCTGAACTTGGACCGGGCTGACCCATTTGTTAAAACTTCAAGCCCAAGCCTAGCCTTATGCTCATCTCATGGGACCCTAGGGCTTAGGATTTAGGTTTGAGGCTTTGTGCTTTCAGGTTTTAGTTTATGAATGATTAGTTTAATCAAATAAATAGGAATTTTTAGTGTTTATTATATAGTTTATCTTTTAGGTTAATAGTTTTAATACTTTAGTTATTGCTTTTGCTCAAATTTATATTCATTTAAAATATTTCTAATCTAATGGCCACTCAAAAATATTTTTCATGATGAAAACAATTCAATAAGCATACACAAAGAATATGTAAACCTTTAAACATCATACCATATGAGAGGGTAAAATGTGTAAATCTGGGCCGAGCTAGGACTGAGTAGAAGTAAACCGAGCTGTGGGCTAAGTAAAATGCGTTTCACAATTAGGCCTAGTTAGCTCGGTCATGAATGACTTAGAATAGCTCGATTTGAGTATTCTAAACCGAGGTATAGGGAGCTGTGTTGTAAAAGCAAGGTGGAACCGAGCTAAGTAAAGCGAGATGGAACCGAGCTAAGGAAAGCTCGGTGAAATCTACCGCATCAATGTGTGTTAGCACGGTCGTTTTGTCATACTACCGTGGTAAAACCGTTTCACTTGGTTAAAGCAGTAAGAGGGGTGTTAAGGGATAAGTATTATCTTTTAGAAATGTTATTCTTAGGAGGACTCTACATTAAGGAATAAGAGTCCTACTAGAATTATGCCACACAGGATCATGCCACACAGGATCTATAAAAGCTCGTAACATGACCTATGTACAGGTATCACAATTCTGACTTTCAAATACTCAGAGCTTTTGTCTATTGTCTATCTGCTGACTTAGGCATCGCAAGGGTTTCCGGCACACACCCGCCGACTAGCTCTCGTTTGTGTTTTCAGAAGGTAAAGCAACGACGTTTGGAGGAGCGCGAACTTGATCAACAAGATCATACGAGAAGAATTATTTCGTGCTCGTACAATTGGCGCCGTCAGTGGGAATTTCACAAAGAACAAAACCTCTTGATCAAGTTTTCCTCTCTAGTTGAAAGCAATGGTGCACAATGAAAACTTGCTGCAATCTGTTATTGATGGGCAGACCCCAGAGGGGGGTGGGAGGCGCGAAGGTTTACCTCCTATCTCACCCATGGCGGTTTTAGAACCCCAGTGACGCAAACTCTCGGAGGGACACTAGGGAGAGACGGGGCACTAGTCCCCGTCGTTCTCAAAGTCCTGAAAGAAAGAGGCGGAGGCTTGATCCCTAAGTTCTAGAGGATCGCGTGAGGGAGCAAGATGAGTTAATAAGGAGGATGGCGGCAGACATGGAGACAATGAAGCGCCAGATAAAAGGAAAAGGGGTAGCGACAGGAGAGAGGCGCAAAGGCAACACGCCCCCTCGTCACTCAGAAGATCGTGACAGGCATACCACACCATCACAAGCAGAAAGCAGGAGCCTTAGAACAAGCGACACCCAATCAAGGACTTCTAAGACTCATCACTCCAGGTCTGAGAGAATGAGAACTGAAAGGTCATATACAGAGGGAAGCAGTTATTACCCCTCGCACAAGCACCAAACGACATCTAGGCACACGAAGTTGCCTAGGTCAGCGGACTTATGGACAGTGCTCGAGGAGAGGGCCCGATGGAAGGAAGACACCAGGGCACGCGACCCTCGCAAGGTTGCAGCACTACGGCGGTTGGCCCCTAGGACACATGGGATTGTCGAGGTAGGGATGCCAATGTCGCGTCTTACTTACGAACCAGCGGATAAAGTATTAGCAAGGTTACAGAGCTCGCCGTTCGTTCCGGCAATAGAGAATGCACCACTACCTTCAGGCTTCCACCAGCCCAAATTCACCACTTATGAGGGGAAGTCAGACCCCTACATGCACTTAAGCCATTTTTGCTAGGTTATGGCAATATACCGGCGAAGCGAGGCTCTAATGTGTATCCGTAGACACTCCATTTTTGACCGCCCTTAAGACTTGGGCGCTATTGATGGTTTACTCGGTGATAAAGGTGTGCAGGACAAAGGTTCAGTTTCTTTGGCAATGAGAGAGCCAAATCTCAACTTCATACCCCTTTTGGATCAAAATAATCTTGATCAAAATATTTTAGACCTTGAAACCCTCTCTTTCAAAATGTTTAGAAAATAAAGTTTCTACGATGTTTCGACGCTTGCATTTCGTTAAATGTTGCGCTTTTCGGTAAACCGAGCAAGGACGAAGTGGCAATAAATGAAAGAGACTTGAAATCTTTGAAAAATCTTTCAAAACACCTTGTTTAGGGGTTTGGAGTTGAGGAAAATTGGAGAAGAGGGGAAGAAACCAAGTTGAAGAAAAACGTGGGTTTGAATCGCTAAGAGAAAGAGCCGAGCGGTCCTCGCTAAATCACGCATGTCTGTCTATACACTTGGATTTTAGCTATAAGGCCACCACCGTTGGAAATCTTACTTCTGGGGCTTCATTTTGCACTCAAGAATCTCCTAAAGCCAAGTCCGGACGGGGGAGATTTGGTTAGTTGAAGTAGGGCATCAATCCGGTTGGACCGAATCTGCGCGGCTTCACCAAAACATGCATAATTTTTTGCACAGTTGGATTTTTGATGCAAGGTTGGTGCCATTAGAAAGTTAACTTCTGGGGCTTCATTTTAGACACTAACCGACCACTTTTTGGCCTTGGAGACCACCCTCCGACCACCTTTCTTTCCGGCCAACCACAAAAAGTAGCTGGCCGAACACCTGACCCTTTTGACCTAGTCGGCCGACCAGGGCAAGTGGTCGGCCTGCCTCCCTCAGTTTTGTCTCTGTGAGTTGATTCCAGCTGTGCCAGCTGGAGGGCACAGACTGGATCATCCATACATGTGTATAGAGGATGTTTGCCCTTGGTTTGAAACTTCTTTGAGAAGCTTTAGACTTGTTTGTCTATAAAGGGAGGCCTCCCCTTCCTTGCAGAGGGTTGAGTTTTTGTTGGAAGGAAAATTATATATCTCTCTTTCTATCTCTTCCTTTGAGCCCTAAAGTGTGAAGTTCTTGACCCTTTTGCATACAACTCCATAGCCTAACCCTTCCACCATTGGTCTAAGCTTCTTGGAGGCCATTTTCAGAGGTTAAAGGTTGAGTTTTGGTCCAGAGGTTGCTGGTCTTCTTGAGCTTCAAGGGTAACACTCATTCTCCCTTTTTAAGCTTTATTTTGCTCCATCTTTTAGCCATACTTGGAAGCATATTTGGGCTTTTTCATAAACTGAAAAAAGTCTTGTTTTGAGGTCCTTAACATGTTTGTTTAAGACCATTTTTCTGTTGGGCGTCATCTACCCCCTTGCATACTTCATTTCATCTTGTTTTAAGCCATGCCTTAGAGCATTTGTGTTGGCCTTTGTTTGGCCTTTTAGCCACTGAAATCCAGCGGATTTTCAGTGGCTAGCATGTTGTTTTGAGTACCAAAATCAGAGAGGGGTGACCCTCTCACCCCTTGTCTTATTTACTAGCATATTTGACCTAACAAAGGAGCCTATCATTCTGGCATGCATAGACCATGTTTCAGTGGATTTTTGGGCTTTATTTGGCATGTCATACCTCTGAATTTTGATGGTTTGGTGGCCTCTTGAATGCTTCATATACTTGTAGTGTAAACCCTCTTCACTAACTTGTGTTGCATGTTATTTTGGCCTTTGATCCTAGCACTTTTTGGCCATGCCTTAAACTGATTTTGTGCATGTTTTGGACTGTCTTAGCTCTGTTTTTATGCCTCATAGTCGAATGATGCTTACTATGCATGGTTGTAGTTCAATACCCTTGCCTAGCTTTGAGTTTTGGAGCCTATTGCATGCTTATGTTGAGGTGTTTCCATGTTTTGGGGCCATTGTGCATCATATTTCAGAGCTTACATGTGTGCCATATTCCCATATTTTCCACTCTTTAAATGCGTTTGAGAGTCGTGCTTGTATGTCTCGTTTTTGAACCATTGCATGAGCCCCATTTCTTTGCATTTTGAGCCATCATTTTAGACCATTTTCTCACTGTTTAGGACCTGCATAGGGACTGTTTGGGACTGGTTGGGTCATTTGAGCATTGCTTTAGAGGTAATGCGCTTCACTAGTTTCGGTATTCGGGCCATCTAGCATGCATTGTATGAAGTGTTTGCATGATTCGGGGCCATCTTGCATGTCATTTCAGAGCTGGAAAATGTATGATTGTATGCCATATTTCATCCCTTTCCATGCTTTGGTAGAGTGGCATTTGATGCCTTAGGTTCGGTCCCTTACATCGGGCATGTTTGCATGAGTGTTCCTGTCTTTAATTTCATCATGTTTGGCCACTGAGTTGGACATGGCTAAGGCCTATCCATCTTAGTTTAAGTCCATTTAGCATTGCGCATGCCATGTAGTTCGTCGTATTGAGTATGCTATTCGACATTCGCATTGTGTATTATTTTGTCATATTGTTGCATGCTTATGATTGTC